CGCAATGGCTGGAGCTGAGCCAATCCGAAGCCAGGAGCCAGGAGCCAGGAGCTTCTTCTGGTTCTCTCATGCAGCTACAGGTACCCAAGGCCTTGGGCTGTCCTCGACTGCTTTCTCGGGCCACAGGCATGGAGCTGTGGTGGTGGTGGTGGGACAGCCAGGATGCGAACCAGCGCCCATATGGGATCCCAATGCATGCAAGGTGAGAACTTTAGCCACTATGCTATTGCACTGTTCCCATTACTTTCCTTTTAAATCGAAGAATCTTTTTGTTTGGGGTCAAAACATTCTTTGCCAAGTTTACTTGTTTACTTTTCAACTTCAAAGCATTCAGCTAAATCTGCCTTATTTTCTTGGAAGTATTCCTACAAGTCTCCTTTCAGCTCTGACACCATGGTTGGCAACTCTCTCTACCAATCCACCTGATTTCTCTATAAATCAAGACATTTTTGTATCTTTGTCCAGGTTTTCAAAGTTTTAAACATCCTCAAGTGAACTGGACTTTGTTTAGTAGAATTCACCATTTTTTGAAAAATTGCTCATAACTCCTTTTGTCTCTAAGAGATTTTTTTTTTTATGCCAGTACCTCTCTGTGAGGAAAGTTACATGTTGTAACACTGTCAGGATCTTATGTTCTTACCTCAGATGCAAATCCTCCTCTAGACGTTCATTCATGGGACATCATAAGCACCGACTAGGAATTCAGTTCCTCCAAGAAAGACCTTGTATTCCCAATTGGGTCTTCTGCTGCTGCTTTTCCAAATGCACGAACAGGGAGCTGGATAGGAAGGGGAGCCACCCAACTCAAGCCCATGCTCTGAGGGAGATGCCAGTATCACAGGTGGCAGCTTAATTGGCTGCACCACAGTGCCAGCCTCAAGCTATTGCATCTCCATTTTTTGAGCTTATTTCCTGGAATCGATTACTTTTAGAAATGGCTTTTAATACATGGGAAAATGTTTGGTCTCAACTTTTAGGCTGACTTTTGTTGGTTTGTACTGTGATCCATAGGGTTTAAAACTACATGAGATCTTGCTGGCTGTACATCTCTGGCTCCTGATGCTCCTAGGTTTCAAGGATAAGGATGCCTTTTATTTTTGTGACAGACTAAGTATTTTTGGAGGAAGTGGGTGAATACACCTGATGTTAGGATGAGAGCTTAAGAAGGAAGCCACCCTTTACTTAGGATGTGTTAGCATATGTTGCGCCTCACTAACATTCAGCAGTTGGCAGTTTTGTCTGCCAAGCAGCCCAGCCAGCTCCTGAAAGCAGAACGCTGCCAGAACAGTAAGCGTTTCTCATGAGCACGAAAGAAAACAAAAGAAAACCAAATGTCGACACTGCTACCTTAGTGTCCTGAAATGGACTTCTGAAATAGACAATCCTACGTGGCTGCTCTCTCACTTCTTGAGGAGGTAGCAGATTCCATTAGTGCATCACCTACCAGCTGAGAGTTCTGTAACAAGTAATTGTTTTTTAGACATAAAATAGGGAAGGTTGATTTGTTCTCTCACAGATTATATTAGCTTTAAGGATATGTACTCTTAGTCATTGGTCTCTCTCTTTTAGGATGTAACAGGACATTAGGGATTACCTCATGGGAACAGCTTCCCCAGGAAGGTAGCAAGGTCCAAAAAATTAAGGTTGGAAACTGAGGGCCAAGTGGAGTTAAGAATTTTGACATCTCGGACTGGTGTGCATGAGATCTGCCTCTGTCACAAGGCAGTCCCCGCAGGTGAGCACAAGAACAAAGGCAGGGAGCAGCCCAGACAAGCCCAGGTTACAGAACCCACTGGGGGCGGGCCAGGTTGGGCCAGTTCATAACACCCACTGGCAGATCTGAGAACCAGGATGAGGTGCAGGACACTCTGGGTTGGGCCACAGCACCAGCTAGTTCACAATAGGGCTGCGACTGAGGGCTGGCTGGGCTGGGTTAGACTGTAGCCCCCACCAGTATGAGCTTGCATTGGGTGCACACTGGGCCAAGCCAGGCTACAGCACCCACTGGCAAATACCAAGTTGAGGTGGGCTGTGTCAAGACCACAAAATCCACCAGTTTGTGAGCCAGGGGGAGGGGTGCAAGCCTCATGGGGGTGCAGCTTGGGCTCCCCTGCTGGGTCACTGCTCCCAGTGGTGAGCATGAGAACTGGGGGACTGGGGGTAGACCAGGCCAGACAGGGATACAACCAACACCTGCTGGCCTATATATGAACTAGATGAGGGGGAAAGCCAGGCTGCGCTAACCAACATAATCCATTTGTGCAGGCATGAGCCAGAATAAGAGCAAGCTGGTTGAGCTTTGCTGTAGCATCAGTTAACAAGTGCTGGGACTAGGGGCAAATCTTTTTTTTTCCCTCAAGATTTGTTTTATTTTTATTGGAAAGGCAGATCTACAGAGAGGAGAGACAGAGCTCTTTCACCCACTGGTTCACTCCCCAAGTGGCTGCAAAAGCTGGAACCAAGCTGATCTGAAACAAGCAGCTAGGAGCTTCTTTTGGGTCTCCCACGCAGGTGCAGGGTCCCAAGGTTTTGCACATCCTCAACTGCTTTCTGAAGCCTTAGCAAGGAGCTGGACGGTAAGAAGAGCAGCTGGGGAAATTTGGATGGGCACTTATATATAATATAGAATGCCAACGACCCAGGAAGCAGCCTAAACCACTGCACAATCCCAGGGCTGCAAGACAAGGATTTAGCCACAAGGCAACCGTGCCAAGCTCTTGAGCTATCATTAAAAAAAAAAAAAAAAAAATTGATTGAAATGGCAGATTTACAAAGGAAAAGATCTTCCACTCCCTTGTTTCACTCCCCAGATGGTTACAAAAGCCAGAGTTGAGCATGTTTGAAGCCAGGAACCAGGAACTCATCCTGGGTCTCCCACATGGGTGCAGGGTCCCAAGGACTTAAGCCATCCTCTGCTGCTCTCCCAGGCCATTAACGGAACTGGAACTAGATCTGAAGTAGCCAGGACATGAACTGGCACCCAAACAGGATGCTAGCACTTGTGGGTGGAAGACTGGCGCGACAGAAGACTAGTTGAGTCACCATGGTGACAACTATCATTTTAAACTTAAGATGTATTTTGCTCAGCACTAAGCAGCAGGCATTTAACATGTGTCAGGTCAGGCAGTATTTACTTACTTAAAAGACAGAGATCTCCCATCCACTTTACTCCTCCAAATGGTCACATGGCTGGGGGCTGGGAACTGTCAGTCACATGGGAACCAGGGGCCTAAGTGTTGGGGTCATCCTCCACCATGTTCCCAGACCTGTCAGCAGTGAGCTGGATTGAAAGTGGAGCAGCTGGGATTTGGATAGGTATTCATTCGTAGAGAATGCCAACATCCTAGGCAGCAGCCTAACCCACTGTACAATGCTAGTTCCCCAAATTACAGTAATATTTTTCTAACCATTATTGCAAAAGGGGTCACCTTGTGCCCCACCATAAAATTCTTATAGTCTTCTCTAAGCATACATCTCTAGTTTTTGGTACAAACACCAGATTTGAGTCACTGCAATGCTGACACATTTGGCTCCAGGTGGTTTATTTAAAAATCAATTATTGGACTTTGTATGTATGGCCTTTGTGGACTTCTGCTATTTTATTTCCCCCCAAAAGTTACATCATTAGTAAACACCTGCACTGTGCTGACTACACAAGCGGTCTTAAAAAAAAATGCATGTAAAATATCTTTTCCTTTTTTTTTTTTTTACGTATTCCCGGCATGACCACAGTGAAACTACAGCTCTGTGAAGCAGTTACCAGTAATATATTATAAAATAAGGTTCCCAGAGGTCATTGTCTAGTAAAAGGCAGAGCCATGACTCTCAAGAATAGAGTCCCAGCTCCCTACCTGTGGCCTGGAAAAGCAAGAGGATGGCCCAAAGCCTTGGGACCCTGCACCCATGTGGGAGATCCAGAAGCTCCTGGCTCCTAATTGGCTTAGTTTCAGCAATTGGAGCCACTTGGGGAGTGAACCAGCAGACAGAACTGTCTGTCCTTTTCTTTGTAAAATCTTTCTAATAAAAATAAATCTTAAAAAAAAAAAAAAATGGAGTCCAAAGCTTCTGTGAATCATGCTACCATGGAGAGTTGTAACATAGCTTCCTCAAGTCACAGATCTTTAATTTTCACTGAGTATTTTAAATGTTCCAAATAGGACTAGAATAAATGTTTACAGATGAAATGTTTTTATACTAGGTAGTTTCTTCGCTTCAGAAGGAAACTGTAACTTAAGACTTTTTAATAATCCTTATACTAATGTGAAGAATTACCAAACCACCTAATTAGACATAATCCAGGTATTTCAAAAACAATTTTTGGCTTCCTTTTCTGGCAATCTTTGTCCCACAAAACACTTACTTGGCCAAGACTAAGCAAGGCTATTAAAAGTGCTTTCATATTCCATTCACATTACTGCTTTCCACAATATATAGATGCAATGCAATTACAGATCATGAATTTAGCTTTGGTACCCTATGTAAATCCATAAAAAAATTTTCTTTTAAAGTAAAAAAAATCCCCAATTACTTCAAGTCCAGGAAAAGTCAGGAATAACTTCTATATACTTAAGCTGTGCTACCAATTAGTCAATTTTCCTACTTAAATAATAAAAGACCATCAATTTCACCATCACTGTTCAAAGTGTAGCACCTATTGAGTTTCCAGAGCCCAAAGAGTACGAAAATAATCTTGTCTCTTGAGCCAGAGTTTGAAGAAAAACAATATACAACAGATGAACGCTGTCAGAATCACTAAAGAAACAGCAACAATTGTATAACCACCTTACTGAAGAACCAACCAACCAGCTTTTTTTCCCAGAACTTCAAGAACTATACATACAAACCATCTAGTTTCACATTTGAAAATTGTAGTTTCCTATCCATAAAAGTCATCTATCACTATGAAAAACTACCTGACTGTAATTTATGACTAGTTGGAAGATGACAGGAATTGGTTCTTTGAAGGAGAAGGAAAAAAAAAAAAAACCCCACACAACTTGTTGCAAATGTAAAATAGCTTAAAGCATTTAATATCTAAACAAATCAATCTGTTAACAGTAGTCACAAAATAGGCTTGTTATAGAAACCCACATTTATGTCTCTAAGAAAAAGTGTAAATTTTTTATTTTTATTTTTTACCTCAAAACATAAATTAATCCGCTTCAAGAATCAGCAGCGGTCAAAATCATGGTGAATTTTAAACAACTTCAGAATAAAATAACAATAGGTACTTTATACTGCTTTGTATCTCAAAATGCTTACAACTTTTCATAAAAATAGTCGGAGACAGCTATTTTTCCTTTAACAGACAAGCCTAATGTTATGGGCAACATTCTTAAAACCTTAAGCTTCAGATTTTCAGACAGTCGAATACTGTGGTCCCTTTGATGTGGTTTATTCAGCTAGGGAAAAAAAGCATGTTAACAACTTAATACATTTTCACCAAATTCAAAGTACAAAATCTTTTTTCAAGACTAGAACTACATGTCCTCGTACCTAATGTATCATTAAAAATAGAAGACAGTATATTCTTCAGCAAATAAAACAGCATATTGGTATGCTGTTAATGCACACCTTCTACTGTACACTGTCACTCATAAACTATTTACAACCTCTACTGTGTGAAGAGAACTAGAATGTAAATTTTCTGCAAAATTGGAAAAAAGCAATACAAAAATTTGTGAAAGCCTATCTTTCATATTATACAAAAGTAAGCCAGTTTTTTCCTTCAAATATCAGATCTTATGTGCAGTTTTATTTGGGGCACATTACAGTAATTCTTGAGGATGTTTTAATGCTGGAGGCAAGTTGACAGGTCTTGCTTCTTCATCGAGAAGTACTAGATCTTCGATTTCACTGCCTCTATATTTCCTCTTACAGATTTTTACCACCACCTTTTTCTTCAGAAACAACTTCAATGCTTCTCTTGATGCAACTGCTTTTGCATTTTCTTTACTTTTTCCACAACCAGTGCCCAAATACACAGACTTGCACCTCAATTCACAAACAATACTTTCTTGAGAACTCTTATTTTGAGGCAGGTCTGCCAGTTCTTTTAATGGGACAAAAAACACATCCAGGGTGGCTTTTAGTGCCTCGATAGCTGCATTGAGGAGCTCCCCATGATTCACAGTGGGACTGAAGCCTCCAACAGCTACCAACTTCCAGGCCACCGTTTTATACAGTCTATTGAAGAAAGGCTGCTTCTGCTTCACATCCTCATTGGTTAACTTGCAAGAGAACTTGACAGAACTATCACTTGACTGTGAAGTACTTTTAGAAGGCAACTGGGAGGTGCTACTCTGAGAACTACTCCTAGAGGCCAGCTGGGATATACTTGCTAAGGAAGTGCTTTTAGAAACCAGGGACCCACTGGGCTGGGAGCTGCTCTGAGAAGCTAGCAAGGCTGCAGCTACCTGGGAAGTGCTTTTGGAGGTTAGCAGAGATGTGTTTGTTGAGGAGCTGCTCTTGGGCGTCAGCAATGATCCTGATGAGGAACTGTTTTTAGAAACCGATGACGAAACACTTGCCTCTGAACTGGTTTTAGAAGTTAACCCACTTGCAGCTGTCTCTGCACCAGGCTTAGAAGACAACAAGGGCAACTCTACTTCTGAGCTTCCGGAAGCCCCCAACAAGGGCACCTCCACCTCTGAACTGCACTGCAGAGCAGGAACCGAAGAGCCCTCCTTTAAAGCACTCTTGTTAGGTGACTCACTCTGTTGTCTGGGATCAGCGGCCTGGGTCACATGACTATTCACACTAGCTTTCAACAAGGAAGAAACAAACGACGCTGACCCGTGTTTATCTGTCGCTTCTGACTCGGCTTTTCCAGTTCCTACGGTTACCTGACAGGAAGCACCAGTGCTCTGGCTGGAACCAGACCCATCACCAGCACTGCTCGAGCTGCTCTGACCGCAGGTGCCAGTGCTCCGAGCCGAGTTCCCACCACTCTCGGCCCTGCTGGATGAACCTGCTGCTCTGTTTTCCTGCTGAGACGACCCACGTTCTGTTCTGGCCGAAATTTTGCCATGATCTTGCTCAACTGTAGAGTTGTTTTTTTCTTCTATGGCACGTTTTTTGGACGGTTCTTCTACCCCTTCTGGGGGAGGAAAAAAAAAAAAAGGTACTAAGAATACCTTATAAATAGCCAACTGATAAGACAGACACGGAAGTAAAGCATAAGGTCAAAATATTTCAGGACTCATTTAAAAAAAAATGAAAACAACTGATTCTTACAACAAGTGTTGAATATCATTAATGCTTTTTAAAAATTAACAGCAGACAACATTGGACACTTCAAACTCTAGAGCAAGGAAAACTATCAAATTTAGAGTCTAAAACACAGACATACAATTTAACAGTCCAACTCGAGTACTTAACATATAAATTCTGGCTTGTTAAGACATTAGTGTTAACAGTCATTCCTAATTATATCAAACTTATATTCTAAACTCCTATGTATGTTCACATCTATGATCTGCTAACCATTGCTACTCGATATCCCTCTTTTCTTCACCTTGGCAACCAGTTCATCTCTTGTTGTATAGACTGGAGCATCTGGCACTTTGATGCCTTCAGCCATACTAAGTATTTTATCCATAACTTTTTGAGGGTACCTGCAAAAAAAAAAAAAGAAAAAGAAAGAAAAGAAAAAGAAAAAAATCACTTTTTATACAGCCTTCTAAACTACCACTTTTGGTAATTCAGAAAAACCCCGGCCGCAGGACTCACATTTCCTGGTTGCAATCAAGGGTACCTACCAACGGCCAGTAACTTTCTGTTTCCTGGAATGCCGTCCACAAACGCCCGAGTCTGGGAGGCGGCTTTCCTCCGGGCCGACTCTCCACCCGAGCAGCCCCCCGCCCCGTCGGTGCCTCCCGCCGGCCGCGGACCCTCCGAGGGCGGCCGGGACTGCCGCTTCCCGCGCTTCCCAACTTGCCCTTCCCGGCCGAGGACACCGCCTCACTCACCGGCACCCGAGGAAGACGTGGTTGGCCCAGGCCATGGAGAAGGAGACGAGCTGCTGCAGCTGCCGGGCACGGCTCCCGCTCTCGGCGCCGTCGGCAGCCGGGCTCCCGGGAGCCAGGTCCCCGGCGTTCCGGAGCAGAAACTCGCGGCGGTGACGCCAGTGTTTGTCAGTCTCGCCCTCGCAGCGCAGCTCCTCCACCCAGGCGGCCACCCGCGGGTTCTGGCTCAGGTACTCCGACACCTCCTCCTGCGCCATGTTGGGGCCTGCAGGCCGCGGAGGCCGCGAGCGGACGCTGCACCGGGAAGAAGGCGGCGGGGTGTGCAGGGACCGAGCGGCCCCGTCACTGCGGCCTGCACCGGCAGCCCGCCAGAGAACGCCCCTCGCCCGAGAGGCCTCAAAGCCCTAGCACCAGCGCCCCGAGCCGCCGAACCGCCCACTTCCGCCTGCCGCCCGCGGTCTCTCTTTTATAACCTCGCCGCCGCGCGCCCGCCGCCTCTCCCAGGACGCTTTGCGGCGCCCGAGCGGCCGCGACGACGCCGTGGCCCCGCAGGCCTGCGGAGGGGAGCGCGAGGGCCGGGCGCGGCCGAGGGACGCCGAGGGGCGGGCGCCGGGCTCCGGGCGCCTCCCGCCCTCTGAGGGCGGGCCCTGCGCGGGGTTCGTCGGGGGAGCCCGGGACCTGGGCGGGAGCGCGAGCGTTCGGGCCTCGCTTTGTGACGCCGAGCGCCCCGCGGCCTGAGGAACCGGGCCGAGGAAGAAGGCCTCGGCGTCCCGTCCTGCTGCACCTTGGGCCGCCGCTCTGCTGCGCGTTCTGCGGATCTCCACCCCGCGTCGCAGGGCCAAAATAAACAACAGCTCGCCTCCATTTTTTTTTTTTTTAAAGTTGCTCGCCTTGTCTTCAGTCTAGACAAACCTGAGTGTTCGGAGACCATCGGGATCCCCTAGGCGCGTGGGGAGGTGGAAGGTCCCTTAGACAGTAGCAAGAAAAATAAGCAGAGCAACGCTGAATCCCTTGCTCCCCAAGGGCCTGGGCTTGGTTTCCGCAGTTTGGGAGGGTTCTGGTTCAACCCGGGGCAAAATCTTCTCCCTTTCATTTTTAGTTAGGAGAGAGAACATTGTGCCAACAACATTCTGCATCGTTAGGATTTCCTTAAATCAACACGATTACCTCCAAAAGGACAAGTCACCGGGAGCAGAAGCCCCTTGGTCTGCACCACAGGCTTCTCCCTGTTGTTGCTGTTTTTTTCCAGTTTACAAGGTGCGCGGTTACGAAACGCACTGCCTCCGACGGCTCAGGTACTGTTAGAATTCCGAGTCCGGTTTATTTTATTTGTACTCTAAAGTTAGTGAATTTTTGTGAGCTAATAAATGATGAAATTTAGATGTCCTTGAGATAAATGTGGACTTGATGTAAAATTACATGAATAGCCCTTCTGGGTTGTTCAGTAAAAAACGAGGATCACTCTAGATAAAATCAGATCAACAACAGATATACATGCAGGAATAACCGCAAGCCAGCTATTTAAGTAAAACAATATTGCCTATTTCCCTGCCCCGCTAAAGAAATTGCATGAAAGCAGACAGACATTTTACGTCTAGTTTTACGGCTGTACCCCTCCTTTTCACAGTTAATAGTCAAGAATTTAGTGGGACATAATGATAACAGAAATCTGTTTATTTAAAAGACGAAAACCTTTGTGGTTTCGCTGTTTGTGAATTCTTTGACAGAAGTTAACAGCAAGTAAAAGCATTTAAGGTTAGATATGCAGATAGTTCTTGCAAACTTTGAACTAGAAATTTTCTTGATCTTGTTGCTCTGTAGCCTTCCAGTTGTAGGCTCAATTGCCTCAGAGAGAAAACAGAGCTTGAATTTAAAAATTATTTATTGAACTTACAATGAAGGGAAACGGTATGAAAACTGGGGGCAGGTGGGCAGCCAGTGTGACAGCCTAGTAGCTAAATCCTTGCGTTGTATCTACTGGGATACCATACGGGCACCAGTTCGTATTCCCAGTGCTCCACTTCCCATCCAGCTCCCTGCTTGTGGCCTGGGAAAGCAATAGAAGATGGTCCAAAGCCTTGGGACCCTGTACCTATGTGGGCGACTGGGAAGAAGTTCCAGGCTCCTGGCTTCGGATCAGCTCAGCTCTAGTCATTGTGGCCACTTAGGGAGTGAACCAGCTGAGGAAGATCTTTCTCTCTGTATATTTGCCTTTCCAATTTAAAAAAGAAGAAGAGAAAAGAAAACAGGGTACTTATTTGCAAAATTAGGGTGCTTGGCAGAAATTTACATTTCTGCCTTTTTTAAAAAAAAAAATTACAGATTTGTTTGAAAGGCAGCTGAGTGAGAGGAGGGGAGGGGCTCTCCCATCTCTGGTTCACTCCACAAATGGCCACAGCAGCCAGGACAAGGCTGGCCAAAGCCAGGAACCGGGGACACTATCCAGGTCTCCCACGTGGCGTGGCAGGGTACAAGTACTTGGATGATCTTCCACTGCTTTCCCAAGCACATCACAAGCCTGGATTGGGAGTGGAGGAAGCTCTTGTGCACTGTACGTTCTGGGAGATCCATTTCATACTCAGGAGAGCTTACAGGGAAGAGCAGTCAGTGACAAGTTGATCCCCAAGCTTCTCTCCCACTATAAACCTGATCAGAAGGGAAACATACGCATACTCCTAAACATTCATAGAAAATGAAAGTGAGGGCCCAGCGAGGTAGCCTGGCAGCTAAAGTCTAGCCTTGCACATGCCAGGCTCCCAAATGGGTGCTGGTTCTAATCCTGGCAGCCCTGCTTCCCATCCAGTTCCCTGCCAGTGGCCTGGGAAAGCAGTCGAGGACAGCCCAAGGTCTTGGGACCCTGCACCCGTGTGGGAGACCTGGAAGAGGCTTCAGGCTCCTGGCTTCGGATTGGCTCAGCTCCGGCCATTGTGGCTGCTTGGGGAGTGAATCAGCAGACAGAAGATCTTTGTCTCTCTTCCTCTCTGTACATGTCTTTCCAATAAAAATAAAATAGATCTTAAAAAAAAGTGAAAGAGGGCCCGGTGGCGTGGCCTAGCCGCTAAAGTCCTTGTCTTGAACACACTGGGATCCAATATGGGCGCCGGGTCTGTTCCGAGCTGCACTGCTTCCCATCCAGCTCCCCGATTGTGGCCTGGGAAAGCAGTTGAGGACGGCCCAAAGCCTTGGGACCCTGCTCCTGTGTGGGATACCCAGAAGAAGTTCCTGGCTCCTGGCTTCGGACTGGCATAGCATCGGCTGTTGTGCTCACTTGGGGAGTGAATCATCGGACGGAAGATCTTCTTTTCTGTCTCTCCTCCTCTCTGTATATCTGACTTTCCAATAAATGAATAAATCATAAAAAAAAAAAGAAAAGAAAATAGGGAAGACTTATTTTTTTTAAAAAAAAAAGTGAAAGAAAAGTTCATTTTGGTGCAAAATTGATATAAAAAAGTTTCATAATGTACCATTTTGCGTGAAACCTTGAAGCACCTTTATAGCATAAAAAGACATGTATGAAAAAAGTTCCGTTTTCTCTAAAACTTTTGTTTTAAAATATTTTTACTAGATTTTTATTTAGAAGGCTGAGTTACAGAGAGAAGCAGACACATACATGCATATGTACAGAGAGAGTGCTTCCACCTGCTTGTTACTGCTTAGATGGCTGCAGTGGCTGGAGCTGAACTGATCAGGAGCCAGGAGTTTCTCCTGGGTCTCCCATGTGGATGTAGGGAACTGAGCGCTTGAGCCACGCTCTGCTGCTTTCCCAGGCTATTGGAAGGAGCTGGATTGGAAGTGGAGCAAGCAGGACTAAAACTGGCATTACAGGTGGCAGCTTAGCCTACCACACCACAGTGCTGGTCCCAGCCTTATTTTTATTTTTACTGTGTGATGATACACTCCCCAAGTGACCACAATTGCCAGTGCTGCCCCAATCCAAAGCCAGGTGCCAGGAACTTCTTCCAGGTCTCCCAAGCAAGTGCAGGGTCCCAAAGCTTTGGACCATCCTCGACTGCTGTCCCAGGCCACAAGCAGGGAGCTGGATGGGAAGCAGGGCCGCCAGGATTAGAACTGGCGCCCATGTGGGATCTTAGAACATTCAAGGTGAGGACTTTAACCACTAGACTACCACGCCAGGTCTGAGTGAATATACTTTCATTTTTTGATTTTTCAACTGTAAGCACTACCTTGCTCCTGAATTTGCAAGTAATAAATTTGTATCAGTTATAGTAACCTGTCTTTCTCCAAGGTTTTGCTGTTTATATTTTCATATTTCTCTTGTCTACCTTCATAAATTCAGATATTATACTTCATTTTTACTATCTTGATCTATCATCTTTAGATATCATCTTTTAAATTTTTTTTATGTTTTATTTATCTGGAAGGCCACACAATGTAAGGGAAAAGATAAAGGCACGTATTTTCCATCTGCTGTTGTACTTTCATCTGATTGCAGTAGCCTTAGGCGAGACAACCCAAAATCAAGAACCAGGCACTTCATTCAAGCATTCTGCTTGAGTGGCAGCGGCCCAAGCAGTTGGGCCTTCTTCTGCTACCTCCCCAAGTGCATCAGTAGGGAGGTGGACTATAAGCAGAGCAACTCTGATATGGGTTGGTGGCATCACAGGTAGAAGCTTAACTTACCTTGCCACATTACCAGCCCAAGAAAGTACATTTATTTTATTTGAGAGAAGTATTTATTATATATGATTTATTTTGAGATGGAAGAGATTTTTTCATCTAGTGGTTCACTCCCCAAAAGCCCACAATAACCAGAGTTGGGCTAGGCCAAAGCCAGCATAACTCAAAACTCAATCTAGGTTTTTCATGGGGCAGAGGTGGAGGGGCAGGGGCCCAAATACTTTAGCCATCACCACTGTAACCTGGGGTGCTCATTAGCAGGATTGTGGAATTAGAGTGATGGAGCTGGGGTAGAAACCAGCTACTTCAATATTGGATGTGGGTATCCTGAGTGACAACTGCTCTGCCATATACTAACCCCAACAGTGAGTTCTTGACTCTACAACATGTAAGAAAATTCTTCATTGAAAGACCATGTGATATGGCATAATAGCTTATTAGCTGAATTCTTGCCTCGTAAGTGCCAGGATTCCATATGGGCACCGATTCATTCCTGGCTGCTCCACTTCCCTTCTAGCTCCCTGCTTGTGGCCTGGGAAAACAGTAGAGGATGGCCCAAAGCCTTGAGACCCTTTACCCATGCAGGAAACCTGGGAAAAACTCTTGGCCTCAGATGGGCTCAGCTGTGGCCAAAGGAGCCACCTGGAGAGCATGCCTGTGGATGGAAGATCTTTCTGTAAATCTGCCTTTCTAATAAAAATGAAATAATCTTTAAAAAATCATTCAATAATTACTTGTATTAAAAAATGAAACATATTTGAAAGTAGATCTTAGGGTTGGGCATTTGGCACAATGCGTTAAGCCACCACTTGGGACAACCGCATCCCTTA